ATTATTTTGCCAAATAATAGCCAAAGGGGGAGTTTGTTAGTGTTTTGTTTTTCTCCATAAAACTCCAACATATGATTGGCATTATTATTATGGCAAACTAAGATAGGGTTTAGCTTTGTGTCTGTTTGCTGCTACAGAAGACTGATTGATCAGAGACATCAACAGACGCACTGACACTGAAGATCTGATAAAGGAAGAAGTTTCCAAAAACATTGAACGCGGTTTGAAGACTTTTGGAAAGAAAATCAGCGGATCTGTTTTGGAAGGTATGGAGCGAATCTCTAAGATTGCATTCTTCACAAGTCGTCCTACCATCTACAATCAAAGATATTTTTGGAGAGTGGCTTTTCTAAGGACGTATAAGTACCCTCATTCGGTCATGAATTAGGGTTACGTTTTAAGAAGACAAAAAGGCACTCCTTGCGGTATAGAAGATTACATCTTTGATTATGCCTCTTCTCAAGAATATATGTTCTTGGTGATTATGATGAAAAACTTGAGAAGAACTATTGTTGCTTAAACAAAAGGACGCGAAGATCACTCAGTTGTGGGAACAACGTGGGACTGCGTCATTGAAGCGGACTGCATCAGAGTTAGCTCTCCAACCGAAGGGATTTCGTTAGACTTCTGCATGCGTGGCTCTCCGTCTTCAACAATCTACTAAAGCTTTGTAGACTGGGTACGTACCTTGTGTGGGGCACTTGGGTGAGATTCTTGTTTCTCTACCTTTATACATTGGATTATGAGTTAGTGGATTGGCCGTCTCGGTGATCGTTCCCTAGACGTAGATACACACTGTATCGAACTGGGTAAACATCGTTTGTGTGGCTTTACTGTTTGCTTTTAGTTTTTCCTCGACAAACTAATCTTCTATCAATTCGTCTGACTGACATCTCACGTCATTACATCAGTCAGTCTTCTACAACAGTTCTTATTGCTAATAATTATCTTAATCTGGAAAATGCAAAATTACATGTGGTATCAGAGCTTTTAAGTCTACACAATGACTTGATCCTTACGGGAAGTTTTGTTTTGCATTTTTCTTTCGTTAAGAAGCTATTTCTATTGTTATCTGTTAGGTATCTGTCTGCTTTTTGCCTGTGTTTTTGGCTGGGTGTCTTTTGATTCAGGATGGATGCAAGTATGAAACCACCTGAATTGGATTGCCACAACTATTCTTTCTGGAAGGCTCGCATGGAGGTTTATCTTCAGGCACAGGGTACCAGAGTTTATCGTACTGTCCTCACTGGATAGAGTCCTCCAACAGTTCAGAATGCTGATGGAACTGCTGGGGCCAAACCTATTGAGACATGGACTGAAGAAGAGATGACGTCCTCTGATTTAAATAATAAGGCTCTAAATTCTATTGTTGGATCTCTGCATGAATCAGTCTTTACTCTTGTCACCGGAATAAAAGAAGCAAAATGAGTATGGGACACTCTTGAAACCAGATACGAAGGTACCAGTGATGTCAAGCAGTCAAAACTTCAGTTGGTACTATTCAGAATTTGAATCTCTCAGGATGGGTGAAGAGGAAACGATTTCAACCTTTCACAGTCGGGTTCAGAATTTGATGAACAGAGCCTCTGTACTTGGTGAACCTTTTACTAATGAAAGAGTAGTCAAAAAGATTATTCGATCTTTACCCAAACGTTTTCGAATGAAGGTGACTGCAATTCAAGAACACTCAGGCTGGGAGAAAAAGAGTGTGTGTGAACTTATGAGAAGTTTAAACACTTATAAACTTGAAGTGCTAGCTGATGATGAACCTGTAACCAGCAGAAAAGGCAAGTCAGTAGCTTTTGTTGCCGAAGCTGATCGAGAATCTGACACAGATGAAATCGATGATGAAGCCTTGGCCCTTATAACAAAGAACTTTAAGAAAATATTGAAAGGCTTCAATCGCAGGAGTCAAGGACAACCCAACAGGACACAGTACAAAAGTGGAAACTCCTCATATCAGAAAACAGAAACGCCCTCCTTCTCACAGAACAGCAGTCAGTCTCAAAGTGGCCGAACAAGACAAATCAGAAGTAATCCGACTGACACAGTTAGACCCCTAAACAGATCAGTGCAATGTCGAGAGTGTGAAGGATTCGAACACATACAATCTGAATGTGCAACTTATCTCAAAAAGAAGAAAGCTATGTCGGTAGCTACCCTCGGTGATGATGAAGATGAAGCAGCAAATGATCAGTCTGATGAAAATGTGGGAAACTTCGTGGCTTTCTTTACGGCAGCATAAAATCAATAAGAAGAGAATGATATAGATGAAGAATCTTACATATCATCAGATGACTTTGAAGAGAGACATACACAACTGGAACTGGAATTTGCTAAACTAGTTGGAAGTTGGGAACAACTGGTGAAAGTTAACAAGAGTCTGAATGACGATCTAAAGCAACGAGATGATCACCTGAAGAAACTATCTACTGAACTCGTCCTAAAAGAAGATCTCATCACTCAGATAAGATCACGAGAGGGAAAATTGATAAAGGAATTGGATGACCTAAAGAAGAAAATCAAGATGATGGATACCACCTCTACCTTAGACAAAATCCTGTATTCTGGCTGAAACCCCAATGATAAGAAGGGACTCGGTTTCAAACGAGGTGAGTCCTCAAAGACAGTGCCAATGTTTATCAAAGAAGGTACATCAGTTGGTAAATCAGTTCACAGTTATGAACAAGGTCAGACATCACGGTCAGTACAGATAAAGCAGAAAGGAATTATGCACACCCGGATTGCTGAGATTGAGACTGACAGAGTAAAATTTCAATCTCATTACTCAAAGTTCAAGACTAAATTTGTAAAAGTTAGACAATACGTACCCATCTGTCACTACTTTCAAACAAAAGGTCACACCCGACCTGAATGTTATTTCTTTTACAGAGATCAGAGGAAGGAGAAATATCAGAATAAGTCTATTACCCCCTTCACGAAACAGGTTTGGGTCAGGAAATCAGAAGTAATATGCTATCCCACAGTGGTTCTGACTGCTTCTATGACTGAAGCAAGATGGTACTTTGACAGTGGGTGTTCCAGACATATGACTGGGAATGTCAAGTGTCTCATGGCTGTTCAACCTAGCAGTGGGTCAGTAACATATGGAGACGGACAAAAAGGAAAGATAGTTGGAAAAGGCACTCTAAATATACCAGGATTGCCTCATCTGGACGAAGTTCTCCTAGTCAGTGGTCTGAAGGCAAATCTTATTAACATCAGTCAGCTGTGTGATCAAAATTGAAATGTGTGCTTTAATTGTGACTGATGCATAGTCCGTGATAAAGCAGACCAAGTGGTAATGGAAGGAACACGATCCTCTGACAATTGTTATGTTCTGACTAATGAAACAGCATGTCTAAATTATAAAACAGACGAATCAAAACTGTGGCATCGACGATTGGGTCACATAAACTTCAGAGATATGGAAAAAAATGATCAAATTAGATGCTGTTCGTGGGATACCTAAGCTCAAAATAGAACATGAAAGAGTTTGTGGGATACCTAAGCCATTGGAAAGCAAATAAGGGCTCCTCACAAAGCAGTAAAAGTGATCACTACTGAGAGATGTCTAGAACTGGTCCATATAGACCTCATGGGACCAACTCAGACTGAAAGCATTGGCGGGAAGAAATACATTTTTGTGTGTGTAGATGACTTCTCTCGGTTCAGCTGGGTATACTTTCTGAGAGAAAAATCTGAGGCATTCAATGCTTTCAAACTCTATGCATAAGAGTACAAAAAGAAAAGGACGAGTCCATCATAAAAATTTAAAGACTGAGAAGTGATCATGGGAAAGAGTTTGAAAATTCCTTATACTCATATTTCTGCTCTGAAAATGGAATAGCTCATGAGTTCTCGACTCCCAGAACGGCACAACAGAATGGTGTGGTGGAAAGAAAGAATCGGACATTATAGGAAAGATCACTTGAGTAGCATCTTTGTGACTACTTGAGAAGTGTGCAATGAATGCAAATTTGTGACTACTTGAGTAGCATCTTTACGGGTTTGCTAAAGCATGTGCTTTAATGAAACTAACATATAAACCACACAAATATACGTATGCCTACCCTATGACATCTGAAGAAGTGTAAGCACAGAGCGCCCAATATTAAAACTAAATTTAAGCACTTAGCAAGTGGCAATTGTAGAGATGAAACCCAAAGAGTTTAAACAATTTATTAGTTCCACAAAATACAAGGATCAAAAGAAAAATACCTTTTCATTCACAAAGCTGTATTCTATAGCAAAACCTCAAACATTTGTCCCTAGCCCAAACAATTCATAAACTCCTCAAAATTCTCTATCTGCTTCTGAAATAGCCAAATATATTATTTTCACTCCTAAGTGAGATATTAAATCAACAGTCATGAACTATAAAGTTCCTAGGTCACTAAATCTGAAGTAAAGACTAAAATATTTCTAGGTAAGCTATAAACCCATTTTCTTCCGCAGTAAAGAAAACCTGAAATTCATTATAATTCTTATGTAAGATAACCATAAGGGTTAAGGCATCTGCAGAGTAAAAATATTTGAAGTTAATATTTGTTTTATACTTTTAATAATGGCAGTAATGCATCATTAACCAGCATAAATCTTTTCCTACGACAATATATTTTGTATTTCTTCCAACTGCTGATTGAGCAAAAGGAAGTTTTCCTAAATGGAACTGGATTTAATAGAAGATTAGTTGTGAACATAAAGCATTCTTGTAAATCCTTAACCTTTTTCAATTAAAAAAAAAAAATCAAAAACAAAAAGGGGAACTCTTGTTTACTCAAGATATTTTCAGTGATCAATTAATGATTGTAATATTTATATCACTGTATATACTAAGGTCTGTTTTGGGGTTGTAAAAGTGAACGAAATGTGACAACAAAATTTCAAGTTTCTTATACAAAAGAGATGAAAATTTAAAATTTTAAAGTCATATAAATCACAAAGAAGAAAAATTCACATTCAAGAATGCAAAAAAGAAAACACATTAAATCCATTACCGAAAAATGAAGAGTTAGATTTCGAATTATCCGAAAATTTCTTCCTCATAGCTCTGACCACATATGATCTTGATAATCCTGACAAAGAATAGGGCCGTGTCTCCAGGCAATTTCTTCTCAAAATCTCAGAAACAATCAACGCGAAGTGACTCGGACGACGAACAATAAGCGGGCACCACATTCTTCAGGTTAGCCAAAACAATGGTTTTCTGAGGAATTGGGCGTTTCAACCGCATAAATCTCTCGTTGTGTTTTATATAACAACGGAACAAATTAAAGTAAAAAAGCAATTGTGTGCAATAGAAAGTGGCTGAAATTTTTATAAACAAGAAGGAAACATATATATAATAATGGTCGGAGAGGGGAAATTGATTTATCTTACCTTTAAAATGGTGTATTGGTCTCCAGACAGAGAGGAAAAGAAACTGAGAGAGCAGAGAGATGGACAGGGAGAGGTTGGTATTCAAATTTCAAAGAATGGTATAATTGATGAAGTTTTTGTTTTAAATACATTCCCAAAAAGGAGCCGTTAGTCTTAACTATAATTTAAAAAGAAAATTTCAAATTTTAAAAATTAAAATATTTTCCATGACTAAAAATTAGAAAAATGTTTAGTAAACATCCAAATATGAAAAAAGAAAACAGAAATAAAAAAAAAATGGAATTGATGATATATCAGTTTTAAAATGAAAAGTGTAAAATTGTGATCTATTAAGTCTATGGTTGATGATTGATGATTTCGTTTTTTTTTAATCTTTTGGACTCCTTTTTTTTTTTTTTAATACTAGTATTTTAGTTGTACGATGCATAAAATAAATTATATTATGATGAATTTAAATAACAAATTTTAAAAAATAAAAAAATGTTAAAATATATAATATAATATTACAATTGGACTTGCATATATATATTTTTTGAAAACAAACAAACAAATCACTTGTATTAATTAATCATAGAGTTTGGTGGAACACCCTTCCAACGTGAGTGAGACTGCCAAACCCCCTCAGCCTTAGCCAAAGCATTGGCAACCAGGGGCGGACCTACAGCGGGGGAGTGGGGGCAGCTACCCCCCACCCCCACCCCATATATAACTCTTGTATGTATATATGTATGTATATATAGTACAAGGTTTAAGTATAAGTAGAAGAAAACAGTTAATGTTAACAAAAGAGAAGTTAGTGCAGATGGTAGGACGTGCGCGTTAGTCTAAGGAAATCAAGGGTTTGATTTCAACTTATGGCTTAAGTGCATATTTTATTATTATGGCAATTTGAATAATAGTGGCTTCAATATAGTTAGAATCTCAAAATATATGTATATACTTTCAAAATATATGTATATAGTTTTATATTAATAATAAGATAATGTGTTTTCTATTAGAATTATTTTATCAAATTAATTATGTTTTATATTTTGTTATAAATATTTTTTTTATTTTTCACTCATATCTAACAATATTTATGACTAACTTCAAATGTATAATTTATAATGTGTTTTCTATTAATAATAAAATGTGTAATTTATAATGTGTTTTCTATTAGAATTATTTTATCAAATTAATTACATTTCATATTTTGTTATAATTTTTTTTCGCTCATATCTAACAATATTTATGGCTAATTTCTTAACTATTCCTTTTGTTTTAATATTTCGCTCCCACTAAACAAAATTTCTGGATCCGCCACTGTTGGCAACATGCTTGGCATTCCTACAAATAAAACGAACACTAAAACAAACTATGCTATGAATAAAACTACGACACTCATAGGCAATGGTGCCAACATAAGTTCCATCCTCCTTTTTTTTTTTTTTTTTATGAATGTTATTAACTCTATTACACTACTTTTTCAACCTACTGAAACACAAAGAGTCAATGTCGCCTCTATTGAGTCTCGTACCCACGACCTCCCATATGGGAATCCAATCTTGGTTTCATAAGTACCATCCTCCTTAGAACTCATTAAATTAGACCAAAATATATTATTATGAACTTATAATGAATTAGAAAAAAATGAAAAAGATGTTAAAATGTACAATATAACAATATAGTTGAACTTCCATATATTTGGTCAAGTATCTATTTTCATAGCATACAAATTTAAAATTTGGTATAGTTAATATAATGTCTAGCTAATCATTTGCATATTTAGATAAATTTATAGAGAAAATTTACATAATTAAATTGATTTATTCTTAATTGTATTTATATATTATAATTTCAACAATATATATGAATAATAACTAAAAAGAATATAATTATATTTAGAAATTTTAAAAAAAAAAAAAGATGTAAATTTTAAATTTTGTATGAGTAAATGTAAACTCTAATATGACAAATTTTCCTATATGATTGTATAATACATTGTAGGAATAAGGTTCAAATTGACCACTGAACGTAACCTGAAAATGCAATTAGGCCACTGAACGAAAAAAAAAGTGCAATTAGGCCACTGAACACTCCAAAAATGTGCAATTTCACCTGATAGCAGGTTACCCTCAATTTTAGCAGGTTATCTGCTTACGTGGCAGCTGAGTTGGCATTTTTAATAAATTTTAATAATAAATTTTTATTTAAAAAAAATTTACTTTATTTTATTATTTATTTATTTTTTTCAATTTTTTATAAAATTTATTATTAAAATTAATTATTAAAAATTATTTAAAAATGCCAACTCAGCTGCCACGTAAGCAGGTAACCTGCTATCCATTGAAATTGCATACGTTTGGAGAGTTCAGTGGCCTAATTGCACGTTTTTGGAGTGTTCAGTGGCCTAATTGCACTTTTTTTTCGTTCAGTGGCCTAATTGCATTTTCAGGTTACGTTAAGTGGCCAATTTGAACCTTATTCCTACATTGTATATGCATATAATATTTATTAACATGCATTTAGGCAAATTCTATAATATATTTTTTCCGATTTTGATTTATATTGCTAGATTTATAATTAAAATAATTATATTTAAAAATTTATAAAATTAATGTTTTAATTTTGTATGATTAATATAGTGCATAAGTATGTGTATTTATCTAAGAAAATTTTTAAATATTTATTAACATACACTTATTTAATTTTATATATAATTTCATTTCATTAATTATATTTCATATTTTATTAATAAAATTAGTATATGTATATTTTATTCTTCAACCTTTTTTTTAAGTCATGAAACCCCATCCATCCACCTCCATGGATTCAAAGATATCAGTTTTCCCTCCCATGTATTCTATTATTATACCTCACCGTGTTTCGTTTTACCATCAGTTTTCCCTCCCATGTTACCATCATCAGTTTAATCTTCAATAAAAAATACATTATATTATTATCCTCATCATTTTATGTTAACAAGAAACAGATAAAATAACTCAGGCAAACATAGTTAATATTTTCTTCTTCGTTATTTTATTTTATTTTGATGCAATTGCGGACAAGTGATCCCTATATAAAATTTATTGTATACACGTTATATGAAGTGGTCCCTAGTGTTCCCTATTATATAGTACCCAAAAAATAATAATAATAACAAACAATTTGGAAACAAAAATAAAACTTCTGCTGGAATAGCTCAAAAATTAAATAAATAAATAAAATAAAACACGAAATCGGTCCTCATTTTAGAACTCCCTATTTCAAAATGAAGGCAAATGGTCCCCATTTCAGCAAACAATATCTCCTACTCCCAAGTACAAAACAACACTAGTATAGTTATAAATAATAGTAAATTAACACTTATTGCATATAAAAACAAGGGAGATAGTCTAATCCTAACACGCATTCCATTTAAAAGCATTAAGAAATCAACAAAGCAACAGGTGTCCTTTCTTAAAATAAATAAAAGGGAAAATGATACTTTTCCCCCCTGTGTTATATATTTATATCATTTTTTTTCTCTAAATTATTTAAGTGACAGTTTTTTCCCTCTGATATGTTAAATGGACATATTTACCCTTAAAATAAATTTTCATTTATGTTTTTTTTTCTAACAAATTATAACCACGATTTGTTTCAAACCGACCAGACACTATAGCAATAAACATAAAGGTTATGATGACAATTTAAAATCGGAACCCGATATTTAGAGTTTATTAAAATCACGAATTGAAATTGCTAGTTTATGTTCTGAATTGAAAAAATAAAATATATTAATTATTGAATTTAGAATATTTTAAAAATAAAAAAAATTAAAAGAAAGTTTGAACCAGCAATTCAAATTGGATCCGAAACCATGAACCGATGGTTCAAAATAAAAACTAAATTGTGGTTATATATACTTATATGTGAAAGTCAGTATAAATGCGAAAAAAACATACACTATTTGTAAATATTATAATTCTAATTTTAAGCTAATGCTAGTAGTTGTTTCGATTTGAACATCCGGTTCATAGTTTAGATCAATTTTTTTTCCAGTTCACGATTTTAATAAACAAAAACCCAAATATTGGGTTCTGGTTTTGAATCATAACTGAAAAATTTCGATTTGATTCCTATGATGTCCGGTTCAGTTTGAACTGAACCGTGGTCATCCCTACGTATAAGCAATAATTTGTTAAAGAAGAGAAATAAATAAAATATTTAGTTTAAGGGTAGAAATTTCCATTTAATATATCGGGGGGAAAAATAGCTACTTTTATAATAATTGAGGAGGAAAATGTGAATGCATGAATAACTCAGGAGGAAAAAGTGCTATAAGCATATAACTTAGGGGGAAAAAAGTGTCATTTTCTCTAAATAATAATAATAATAATTGAAGAACCAAAATGTTCTTTCTTAAAATATGCTTTCACCGAAAAAGTCATTGGAAGGATCATAAGTGTCTAAAATATGATAATTTGGGGTGTTAAATAGTAAAATTATAGTCTGGGACTAAATTTACAATTACCATCAAAGACAATGAACCTTCGTTGGAATTAACTCTCGCGTGAGCAACATTGAAGCGCCCATTCGGGCGTGTGCACTCAAAATTGTCTACACGCGCCTGCTCATTGCGTTAAACTGCATATTTCTTTTTTTTTCTTTTTCTTTTTTTTTTGCTTTTCAAATTTTGTTTTTCCTTTTTTTTTTTTTTCTCTTCCCTCCCATCTTCTCTTTCCTAGTTACACTTGCAAAAACTCCTCAAAATCTATGCCTATTGAAGATGTTCTTAGTAATTAGAGAAAATGATGTTTTTAGTCCATTAATTATACCCATATTGTAGACTCAATTCATGAATTATTACCACACACAAATTTTTTCCTTTAATTATGTGTAAAGTGATAGTTTTAGTCCATCACTAACAAATTATGTTAATATTAATATTGTATTTTAAATTTCTAAATTATTAGGGGACGCCTTAGTCATTTTTTATTTATATCATTTTGTATTAAATAATTAAATAATCGTTGAGGTTGACATACACATTTTTATAAAACTCATTACCCTACTTTTAAACAATGAAATAAAAAATGAGGAATAAAAAAAAAAGAAATAGAAAT